TGGGTGTTGGGCATTCACCAAACACAATAGGGATCATCCTTAGGGTATAACGAATATGTACACAAAATTTCAAAAGGATCTGTTAAGAATTGAGGCTTGTAAAAAATGGGCGTGGCTCTGCCCCAGGGTGTCGGGCATGCACCACAGGTCATCCTTAGGGTATAACGAATAAGTAGAAATAGTTTTCAAGACTATTCATTAAGAATTGAGACCTGCAGGCGACACACACATAAAGAAAAAATAGGTGTGACTTTCTCACATTACGGAAATGCGATTTTTTTAACAATCGGGGGCCATGCCTATAATCAAGGAAGTTACGTTAGGATATGAGCGATTATTGAAAGGAACCAAGATCTCTGTGATATAAACATAAATTTAATGTTTCATCAAAATCGGATCAAGATTGTGACTTCTAGAGGGTCCACATTCCACAACCTTGATATAACATATATTTACACTATAGGCCTAGTATTTGCGTATGAGGGGCGGTCATTTTATCCAACAGTTTTTGTCTGATTTTCATAAAATTCGAACTCTACCAACATTATGGTGTAATGGTGATATATTCGAACATTTTTTTTTAAATCAGATAATAATTTGGTCTGATTTTCAAGTAATTCGAAATCGACCATAATTGGGGTGCAAGTGCAAAGGTTATACATTTATATGTTTTTTTAAATCGGATAAAAACATGATTTTTCGTAAAATCAAGGGCTATAATTCAGGGTGTTACGATCCGATATGGCAAATATCAAAAGGAACCAAGACCTTTGGGCTATTACTTCAAATCTTCTAAATTTAGTGCCAGTATATTCAGAAAATACCATTGTCATCAATCTAATGTTATTTATGTAAAAATTAAAACCCAATAAAAAATGGTAACGTGTGTAACGTTACGTGCGTTACATTTACCAATTGGGGCTTAGAGGGGAATGTTTGGAACTAATTTTGTCCCATGAGCTCTTTTAATTCAAATACTAGTGGTGAAAGTGCAAGATCAAAAGCCCATTGATAAGAAAAAATTATTTTTAAGTGCTTTTATAACTTTATCAATTCCTGAAGGGAGTGCATGTACCACATGGGTTCAGAAAAGAATTTTTGTAAAAAATTGATTGTTTTTTTTTTTTTTTAAGTCAAATATCTTGTGGAACTCTTGTACAAAACACCACAGATCAACACACTCTCTCAAAGTCGAAAATGTTAATAAAATTTATTTAGTTGAACTTGTCATTTTTTGTACAACTCCAATATCTTGTGAAAAATTCCACACAAAAGCCCCCAAACCATGCCATAATAAATGAACTGATTTAAGTAGGTCCTATAAGCATATACAGACAATTTTCCAGGGGAAATCACTGATTTTTGCAAAAATGGGGGTATTATAAATATACAGTAATACACAGAGGTGTAAAGTGGCTACTTGAGTCTTAACATTGTATACTACAAATGGTGTCAAATAATTAAAACAATTGAACCATCATTGGTGGTTGGATCCAATTGTATATTTCAATTTTCTAATTTACTGAAGTAAATAAGCTTATATTTATAATCTTTTAGAATCTACTAGGTAAATGACCAATTCCATAGTCATAATTTCTAACTTCCTGTGAGGGTCTTAAAATAGTCATAAAATATATTACAGGTTATAGGCCTAGTTATTGTACATAATAAATCAATAAACGAGTCATAAGTTGTTGAGTTTTCTAAATATCATAATTAGTTATATGTCTAAAAAAAACATTAGCTATGTCTTAATTTTATTATTAGTTGTGTCTGAGTTACATGTAGATTGCTAATGTTTGCCACAAGGGTTTTCATTAACGGTTTTCAAATATCTCGAATTTTATGTCAATTTAATGAAATAAATTATCTGAAATTCATATATTTTATTCACTTGTTAAATCATAACAGAGATAATAAATATAAAGCATGCTTTAATCCATTCTAAATGTTATATGGTACAAATTTTATACATGTAACGTACGTAACATATTTGTGTAACGTACGTAACACCAAAAATGTTGTGTCATTGGGAGAATTTGGGCTGAATCATCTGTTAGTACACCAAAATATATACTATTGTGTATGCACAAGAAAATGGTAAAATAGCACCACAGTCACAAAGTTCAAATACAGACTTTTGGGCTTGAAATTTAGTGGTATAAAATTTATTTTTTGTGATGTAACCTACGTAACAGCAACATTTTCGTCTTCAAGAGACAATGACAATGGAAATGGAAAAATTGTTCTAGTTTCTATATTAGATATACATTAGTTATCCAAAGCCATAAACAGTGACTTTCTGCAACACATTATAATAAAATTATTAAACTTTGATTGTGTTCAATCGGTTAATTTAAGAAACATTAATTATCTTAGTGATTGACAGATTATCACACTGGTCTACTAGGTGTAGTCATCCCCATTAACAGTTATTTTCTATTAATGCTTCAATTATCACCTTATGTTAATAGAAACCTAGCAAAAGGTTACTGGGACAATGTCAGATTTAATAGATTACCTTGGGATCACAAAGAACTAGAAATGTAAAAGTAGCCTAGGTCGAATGGAAATATACTAATCATGGATGATGGTGACTAGTTATATTTACAGACAGCTGATAGGAATCCCTTGCAAACTACAACATTGTGAAATACAAAATTAAATGACCCCATTTCCGATATTGATCAATATAAATATTTTAACAGTCTATGTGAATTAATGCAAAATCTTGAAGATGAATATGATTCAGGCATATTTTTTGTGGAGGTAGATTTTAATAACGTAATGGATGTAAATATGAATCATACAGGGGGTAATTATAAAATTAAGAAAAATAGCAGACACATAATTAATAATATTATTCAATAGGAATATCATCCAAAAATGGTTCAGTGTCAGTGAATAATTATTGCATCCAAGCCAGGAGATTATCTGCTGTGGGTATTTTGATTTGTTTTCTTAATTAAATGTTAAATAGTGAGTCTGAGTAGGCCTACATATTAGCATGGATTAAGCCCGGAGAAATTTGATTTTGTAGTGAAGAATGCAAATGGTGCATCATTATTTTAAGGGTTGGCTTTCTGATGACCTATTAGAACAACCATTTATACTCAGGAGTCTTCATCATAAAAACTTAAATTAATTTATTTTAAAGATTTCATTTCATTGGTTGAGGATTAAAGTCGTTGTACAAATAGTAGCTCTTAGCCAGTAAAATTGATTAATTCTTATAATATTTTAGTTTAAATTTTTCTGAACAAGGCCTCAATACTTTGAAGTGTTAAAGGTGGCTACTGGTACTTGTAGTTTGTGTATGTCAACATTGAAATGTTTGCTATATATTGAAGTTAACCCCAATTGTATATGGTCACATTTTGCAATATTCTATTAATCTACATGTAAACCATCATGTTTAGAGGGCCTATATATTGAGTACAGTAAAATAGGGATTATTAATATGACTTTACTCTTTCTACAATTGTACATTGATATCTAATGTATTTCAAGCAAATCCAACTGTTGTAATGATATTTGACCTTCATCGAACTCCATCACCCTTGTACAATCCCTAGTGATTTACTCCAAGTAGGCCTCATCACTCAAGGATTATCCAATCCTAAATCTTAATGATAGGCTCTCCCACTTTCTGGGTTATACCAGTGATAAACAGTTGGGTTCTTTTATAACCAGCAGCTGCCAGGCAGCATACGCCCACATTTTCGAGAGATGGATAGAGAACAAGCTAAAAAGAAAGTGATTTTTCCTACAATCAAGGGCCATAATTCAGGAAATTACAATTCGATATGCGCAAATATCGAAAGGAACCGAGATCTTTGTGTTATAAACTTACATTACAAGTTTCAACAAAATTGGATAAAAATTGTGAACTCGATTCGATCCACAACCTTGATATACCATATTTTTAGGCTATTTGAGAATGAAGGGCGGCCATTTTGTCTGTCAGTTTTGGGCCGATTTTTACGAAATTCGAACTCAGCCGTCCTTAGGGTGTAACGGTGATATAATGATACGTTTCTTTAAATCGGATAAAAATTATGACCTCTATAGGGTCCACAAGCTAAAAATGCGATTTTTCATACAATCAGGGGCCATAATTCAGGAAGTTACCGTCCGATATGCGCAAATATCGAAAGGAAACAAGATCTTTGGTTTATAAACTTACATTTCAAGTTTCAACAAAATCGGATTAAAATTGTGACCTCCATAGGGTCCACAACCTTGATATACCATATTTTTACGCTATTTGAGAATGAAGGCGGCCATTTTGTCTGTCAGTTTTGGGCCGATTTTTACGAAATTTGAACTCAGTCGTCCTTAGGGTGTAACGGTGATATAATGATACGTTTTTTTAAATCGGATAGAAATTATGACCTCTATAGGGTCCACAAGCTAAAAACGCGATTTTTCGTACAATCAGGGTCCATAATTCAGGAAGCTACGGTTCGATATGCACAAATATCGAAAGGAACTGAGATCTTTGGGTTATAAACTTACATTTCAAGTTTACACAAAATCGGATAAAAATTGTGACCTCTATAGGGTCCACAACCTTGATATACCATATTTTTACGCTGTTTGAGAACGAACGGCGGCCATTTTGTCTGTCAATTTTAGGCCGATTTTTACGAAATTCAAACTCAGTCGTCCTTATGGGTCTATCACTAATTTCTTGATTTTTGGTAATTAAGAAGTATTTTCAGGAAGATATGTCAAAATAGACTTGAAAACAAAATAGACTTCCACAGAAATTAATGGGTGCTCATCAGCCATGGTGGCCCGTTTTTGTTTTTTTTAGCATTGCCTCTAATCAGAAAAAGAAAAATGACGGCACCCTTTTGCATTTTAAAAGATACAATCTGTGTGGGGCTCATACAAAAATTAAAAAACATTGTTGTGCTTCAAGCTGTTACTAGGTGCCTTTGGTAAATATTATTATAGTCTACTGATGTGGTTCCTTTATTATTTATATTTTTTAGAGTGACGAATGACGACCTTCCTAGAATCAAGTTAAAATATATCAAACAACTTTCAATAGTGTCCCGTGATTCTGATAATTATGAAAGTGATGAAGACGAGAGTGATGATGATGAGGATGGAAGTGATGTAGGAAGGGTCCGATCTAGAAAACATTTACAGTTAGATGACCAGAAACCAGCAAACTCATGGACTTCATGGTGCAACATTTTATAAGTTTCACCGGATTTCAAGTAGGGAATGTATAATTATTATAGAGCTTCGAAACTTGTACATAAACATGATACATATATTTTTAAACATTGATAATGATTGAATGTTGTTTGGTTACCTGTTTAAAATCTGTTATGTTACTTAAAATAAACTGTACAATCATCATTATTTAAATACCTTGGCCATCTATAATTTGCTGTGAAGTTTTGAGTAAAGAAAATGTATAATAACAATAAAGAAAGGCATCTGGTGGATAAATCGGTAGTCATGTCGACAAGTCTCTTTTGTGTGCGTATTTTAAAGGGCCTTGTGCAAATGATTGTTTATATGCCCACAACGGCTGTATTTAATAAAGGAATGCAGATTTATCCATTAAGGGATATACAGGACACATAAAGCAGATTAAAGAAACATTTAGAAAAAAGACTCCCCCAAACTCTTTGTTAACAGTGTCAATTTGTAAACATTAGACTAAATGGAACAGATATATCGAGAACCCTTCTAAGAAGAATAAATTCGACAAGGGACCTTGTTATTGTCACAGTTTTGACCTTGAAGGTAGGAACAGGGCTCACGCTCTCCGTCGCCAAAGTAGGAACAATGTTTAGACTATACCCATCACACTGTATTTACCTAGGTGGAGTGTTTAATAAAACGAACAACCAGGTCATCAGTGTCACTGTTGACATCCAGCACAGATCCAGGAATTTTTGGATGAGTGTGGGGGTGTACATTTTGTGTAAGCAGAAATACTCTTTTACAATCTAAAAGTGCTGCTTGCACAGATCCAGGAATTTGTTTACCCGTGTGGTAAACCAGAGCTGTGTAGCACCATGGGCCTTTTTGTCAGACGTGGAGAGCGAACATTGTCAAACCGGTCGCCACATCCTACGTACGACCCCTACATCTTTTCTTACACTACATAATAGTTATCAGGAATAACAATGCAACAGTTCGCTTTTACATTTTATATATCATAGCTGGATACATAGATACAAGCATAGTATAGATTACAATCCTAGTCATTCTCTCAAACATGTATGAAATTGCTACATCTTTTCCCATCTGGAATCAAGCTGCTGTCTAGCGAATTCTCACAAGTATGATAGTTTTGTAGCTTTGGGTTTTGGACCTTCAATTATCTAATTGGTCAAATATGATGTAATAAGTATAGAGATTAGTTAAACAAGCTGAATGATGCAATCGTAAATTTCCTATCACATGTAATACATGATATCCTTATTCCCACAAAACCAGCTAATGCTTACCAAATTATAACTCTTTTTTTATGTAACCATCTGTCACTCATTCGCTAACTTGATTTAAGTACAAATACTACATATATGTGAATCTAATAACTTGCCAAAGATATTAATTAATACAATGTAATGCCATCATTAATCTTAAGAGCAAAAATTCTACAAAAAGTGTTACAGCTGTCCCGGTTTTGAGGGTCTTTTCTGCTGTCCCGATGCCTCTCATGTGCCTAAATGTCCTGGTTTTGACATCAGGTGTTTTTCAGTTGAAAATAATAACACAAAACACATAAACTATAGTGATTAATGTATTCTGCATTTGATACAAACACTAGTACTTTATCATCTAAATATAATTCAGTGCATAATACAAGCAATGCACTTGCAATGCAGGAATTGCAATGCACTTGTCTATATAGAATTTGATGTATGATCTTGAGTATAATTTTATTGGTTTACAGACTTTATAACAAAATACAATACATTTTAATTAAGACTTGTAAAACAATCTACAAGTTGACAAATCGATATAATGCCTGTCAATGGTCGATCAATTCAACAACATATATGTTTAGTGTAACTACTGTCACAAAATGACGGAAATCGCATATCCCAGCTTCTAGAAATGAAAAATATTCTGGGGGTGCATGCCCCCAAATCCCCTAGTAAATTCACGCCTTTGGGTGCTTATTTGGGCGCTCCATGCTCATTTTGGCTTTTGTCTGATCAGAATAACAAATGTCCTGATTTCTTCAATGCATAATCTGGTAACCCTAATTTATACCCATTTTGATCTACTATCGACCAGGAAAAATTAGCCATTGGTTTTGGGGTAAATATTTCAGTTTACTTTGGTTTAACATGTCAATCCCCCATTGGTCATGCCATTGTAGAACATTACAGGAGGTGGTGCCCTATTGCTTTTAAAAAAAATTATAACCAAATTATAATACAATGACCTAGATGCACAATTGCACATTTAATGTGTCCAGATGACAGCTTGGTTAAGGTTATAGGTACTCTGTCGCTTATGCGTGTGATAAAGGACGCTACTTTATAACACGGTACGGTAACTGTAGTTAATTCCCTTTAATTATCTCCTTATAGTCTTCAACCCGGTGAGACGCTGCAACCAAATTAATAGGAAGCTCACCAGACAAATAATGTGGGCTGATATGAATATCATTTATCAAGGTTTATGATCCGAATAATACAACAAAAACAAAGAAAAATGCTGTGAATTAATTAGTTGCGTCAGCTCGCTTCACGGCACGCTACAGTAGGCCCTGGTATATAACTACATGTGGGCTATCTTAGTAGTACTGTGATTTGTTTACACCAAATCCAAGGTCACTTGAGATAATAAAATACTAGAACGTAAACCATGCGCAATAGACTATAGTTTTATTTACAAGATCGCGGTTGTTTTTGTTTGTGACTTATTTGTTTTATTGTCTTGGGGAGCGAGTGATGTTACTTTTTGCTTGTTTCACACTACGTCCCTAAAAATAAATTCAGTGCTGGCTCACAACACGGGGATGGACTGGAAGTCTGGCATGGGGCAGTCGTTCGACTGGGACGAAAACAACGAGATTCCATGTACACGTTGGCGTGTACATAAAAGAATCCTTGACAGTTGGTACAGAAAAATCGGACATTAAACCCCATTTCATTACATGTGATATTTCATTTTTGATCCGTTAATGCCATGGATTGCAAACATCATAAGAATTATGAATAGGGTCCTTTATCTAGAGATAAATCTATTTCATTTAATTCCTAAAATAATCTCATAATTCATTAACCAAAACAACCCACATTGCAACAAACAGCATTATAATTAATTAAACACACTTGTAATGGGTGGACAGACGTTTTGGTGACAGTGTTAAAACACCTCTGGGACTGAAACTACCAACATTTCTAAAAATAAAAACATACTAAAATCCCTAGATTTTTTTATTTACTATTTTTATTCAAAAGTGGCAATCATGTTATTTATGAAAAAGACGTTTTTTGCGTGTTTTTATAACAGTTTAAACCTAGTTGAAAACCGATAATGTTTCTTATAATTAGCCTACATTCTGTTATGTATATATAACGCTGCGGCTAGCCTATAGTGATGACAATAAGTCATTCTGTTAGAAAGCATGGGTCATCGTTCGCTTAGCAACAATAGTAATGTATCTATTAATCCGATATTCCGTGGTCATTAACCACTGATTCAATTCATCGAAAATATAAAAGCCGAGAAAAAAACAAATAATCTTGGCACTTTTCCATATCCGAAAGGCCAAGAAAATCTATTTTTCATTAAAAGCTTTTATTATCCATCGTTTCCAAATATAGATGGAAGGCTTGGTGGAGTATACGACCTATGTAAACTATGATTGAGGGGCATTAAAGAGGTCAACCTTATGAATATCTCCCCTGACTTGACCCATTTATCAGATATCTAGGTCAGGTCAGTGGACATACAGCGCATGCCCACATTAATATATTTAATGTATCGTGACAAAACGGTTAAAACCACAAATCTTAAGTGAAAATACGGCATGCACTTTAAAACTGGAAGGCCATCTTAGTGCATGTCAACTAATCGTATAGTTTTAATTATTCATACAGTGAATAAAATCAATATCGCTTGATATATGTTATAAAAGCTACACGGGTTTTCCTTCGATCTACAAGGACTTGGTTTTATATACAAAAATATTTTGCTGCACAAATCAGCTCTGTTAGGCCTAGATATTTTGATCTAGACAAATATCTTTGACAATATCATATATCATATCCAATACATAATATGTACGCCCGTGAACTTTGTTCTTGTCTGGAATATAATCTGCCAGCTGATATTTAATACTTGAATCCGACATTTCATGTCATAGTTCGTATTCAGTACTGGGCAAAATTAACTTTCAGCTTGGCTTGACATTAGTCAACTTAGCAAACGGGTAATTCGTAATACGATTCACATATTTCACCGTCCGGGCTATCAATTTGTTGCATTTAGTATTAACTGCATATCCGATTAAAATTTTAATTTTTGTGATTAATTAAATCCAAACACATATAACGTCAAGATGAAATCGTTAGAAATAAAGAGCCGTAAAATATAGTTTGTAGGGGCAAATAAAAGGAGCCTAACTTTATCCAAATGACTTTTTTATTAACTTCGTTGGCATGCTTACTTTCATTTCATACTAATTCGTAATCACCAAAAGAAAGAAAGGAAGAAAAAAATCCAAAATAAGATGTTTGACCCATTTCCAGCAAATAACTTTAATTTAAATTAGCATCTTTTATTTACTTGCATCGTGATTTACATTCTCTTACTGAAACAGAGCAAATCTCCAATAAAACTTGCATCGTAATTTTCAGTATTTAAATTGTAAACTCTAATCTTCAGTACAAAAGAAGCTGCCCAGGACGTTTTTCCTGATCATTTTTCAATAACAAAATGCACCGTATTACCAATAAAGCCAGTATAGAAGAAGAAGAAGAAGAAACTTTATTGCATAAAAAAACCTTACAAGGTTATGTGCATATACAAATAAAATAATAAAAATATAAAGGATACATACATGGACATAATTATACAAAGATACACATTTTACAAAGACATGAACGAATTGTATACAAAGGCTCCTAAACATTTTAAAATTTCCATATTTTTATTCATCATCAGTATTTTAAATTGTTTTAAATCATTCAGTTTATAAAAATTTGGTTCGCGAACTAGAATTAATCTGAACAATTCTTTTCTTTTTTCGTCATGACTTTTACAATTTGTTATCAAATGAATTTCGTCTTCTACCTCCTGACAATTACACAAACGATCGTTTGGTTTACGTCTAATTTTAAATACCTTATTGTTTCAATTTTCAATTTATGTGCGCTTATTCT